TTTATATAATTATATAAATATATATATAAATATATTTATTTATATATATTTATTTTTTTTTTTTTTTTTTTTTTGTAAATTCTGTTAACATTATCAACCAAAAAAATAATCATACTGGCCCATGGTCAGTGCTTACATGTTGTGTTTGTATTTACTTCATCCTCTCTCTCCCATCCCCCGCCTTCAAACTATTGATAACATTTTTCCATTTTACTCACCAAAGTTGACACCATTTGTCATGCTGGCTTATAGCACTTGGACCCTGGATGAGGGGCTGTAGGAGTGCAAGACTTGACGATAATATCCTTCTGCTTTTTTTTAGTCCATGTGTAAATGCAATCCTTGAGGCTCGTACTAGATTTCAAGTCATGTGCCTTCCTCTTTGACGCTCACACAAGTTTTAAGGCATCGGTACACATATTAAGAATTTATGAGAGACTGTGCATTGATTATTGTTTTTTTTTTTCTTTCTTTCTTTTTTTCTGAAGACAAAGGACATACTCAATGAAGCCCTCGGAGCAAAAACCCTGGTTTTGACAAAAGAAACTACAATCCAAGCAGATTGTGTACACTGGTGAATGTGCCTGTGTGCGTGCACGCACGTGCGTGTGTGTGTGTGTGTGTGTGCGTAGCGACCATCACGGCTCAATGAAACGCCTTCCCGATACGAGACGCAGATGCTGTCTGGACCTGTTTTAATGAAAGTGAATGTCTCGAGTTACGCCATTTGGGCAAGTGTGTGTGTTTATGTGTGTCTGCGTGTGTAGCGCTGGTGTTTTGAATGTCAATAGAAGCTAAAACTCGTGTTGAGACTGCTGAATTAAGATAAGGATCACACAAAAGCTTGTGTCTCCTTTTTTTTGCCCCTTCTCTTCTCCCCTTTCGATACTTGCTTCGAGCACAATGCGTCTGTTTGATGCCTCCCCTTGGTTTGAGAGGCATCGCTCTTGTCTTCTATGTTCTCACCCCTGTGACAAGCTATTTAGCAGGTGCATGCGGCTCTACGGATTGTTTTCTCTATTATGTCTGTATTCCTTAGGAGTTTACTTGCAGTAAGTGATTTTGAGCTATTTTTTCGCTTTCAGAGAGCAGAGGCTACAGCAAACTTGTCTTTCAATTTAATATCTATTTATAGTGGCTCTAATTAAAATACATCTTATTATTTAAAAAATAAATAAATAAAACAACAAAAAGTTGGCAATTGATCAAAATATAATTGGTAATACAAAGGAATGTTTCTTCTCCCCCCTCATCCTCCAAGACACACCCAGAAAGCGGCTGGCAAAAACGTAAATTCAAGGGCACAACTAATATCATCTGACAGATTCCTATACATGATACCATCTAGCTTTCAGGTATCTGACCGACTTTGAGTCTACACAGGTTGAACTTTCATTTCCTGCCTGCAAGTTTGCATGTTCAACAACCGGCTTTGACATCCTGAAGAGGAAGGGAGAACATTGTCGGAACACCGATCTGGGTAAGGCCCCGGCGAGGCGTGGTGCCCGTAATTCAGTGTGACACCAATAAAGAAAGTCCGCAAACTCAACACAAACCTCTGAGGTCTTCACTTTCTGAAACATTTCTCACAATTTTTTTTTTTTTCCATAAATATGTAATGGTGTAAAATGGTGAAATTCAGTGAAATATATTTAGTTTACTCCAAAATGGTGCCAAAAGTAATGTCCTGAAAAATGTAATTTAGGCCTGAGGGCTTGCCATAGGACACCAGTTGTGGCAACGAGCCTTTGGGGCTTCCTGCGTTTTGCACTCCTGCAGGAATACACACACTAACAAGTTAAAAAGTAGTAATAAAGCTATTTTCAGGCTTGACAGTACATAGAGCAAGGATTGCAGACAGCGTCTCTATGCTTTCAAAATGTCCCCACTAATCAGCTGAATTTTGGAAATAAATGATTGTCGCTGTAAATGTTGCGTGAAAGAGAAACAGGGTAGTGTGTGTGTGTGTGTGTGTGTGTGTGTGTGTGTGTGTGTGTGTGTGTGTGTGTGTGTGTACATGGGATGTTAATTGATGAGCGTTATAGAGAGCTGCTGGTAGCACAGGGGGGATCATTACTGCTGGAGTGGAACAACTGCATTCACGGCTGTTTGCTGTGTCACACACACACACACACACACACACACACACACACACACGCACGCACACACGAACACACACATGTGCCCACAAAGTCACGGCAGTCAAAGACAGTGCAATCTTCTAGGTTTCACTTGTACATCTTTTCATTTCAAGTTGCAACCTTTCTATGAAAGCAAATTAATAAAACTAATTTTAACATTTCGATTCTGTGGTAAAATTAAAAAAAAAAGAAAAAGAAAAGAAATACCAATCACTGAAAAAAAACAGCTCACATATTTCACTTTCTTGCAAACTTGCAGCTTGACAAAAAGAAAAATCTTTTATTTTTTTTTTTTTTTGTTTGGAATGAGGAGGAAAAACAAAACTACGATTCACGCGGCATTTCCTATCTTTCGGTCCAATTTGTGGGAAGGGGGGTGTGAGTGTAGCCACTTTGGGTTAAAGGATTTAGGTCACTCTTTAACTGACTGGCTGACATCAGAAAGGTGAGACAGAAATCCCGGAGTGGACTTCAATCTATATCTGGAATGAGTGACACTTAAGAGGCAGGTAGTTGAAAAAATGAGAACCCTGGTTCGTTGTGGTGAACATGAGATCTTGACCTATATTTCTACACTCTGGATATGTGTTATCTGTTTGTTATTGAGCTTGAGTATGACTGAATGCATAAATCCTTGTAATCATGCGCATTGCTTAACGTTTATATCAGTATTTCCTGGCTGTTTAAAGGATCATAAATAGATACTCGATACTCTGTGGGTGTTTGGTGTGGGGAAATGGTGTGTAAGCAGTATCAGTGTTTGTTCACTCCTTTTCATGCCATTACACTTTAGCTGGAGAGCTGCTGCCACTCCGATAGTAAAATGGGAGAAAAACTCAATTGTGAAAACAGGAAAATAATTCATTCATAAAAGACATTTTAAAAGACCTGAAATAATAATAATAAAATAAAATAAAATAAAAAACATTATATTGATAAATAACTAAAAAACAAAATGCGCATTTTAGAGTAGCGGGAAGTGAAAGTCAAAGAGGAAGACTAGAAACAAATTGTTTATCCTCACAAAGAAACGCATATCTATTCAGATGTGTACCTCCAGCAGCCAGGGTTTGAGTTTGCGGTCCAGGAGGATGTCAAAGCCCAGGACCTCAAAGCAGACACTGTCGCTCCCTGGTGGTTGCCCGGCGCGACACATGCGATAGGCGTGCAGCACATGGGGCTCAGCCACTATCAGTGTTTTCACCACCAACTCCTAGAAGGAAGTGAACACAAAAAGAAAAAAGATAAAACAAAACACAATTACCAAATTGGGCAAAAAAAAAAAAAGAAAAGAAAAAAAAAATCTAAGTAATTTTTTTAAGTTTTTTAGTAATTATTCAAAAAATCACTAATGGAGGACCACCTGTTTTTATCTGAAATCATAAAATACAGATTCAAATTCATAAGTAAAGTCTAAATGAAAAAAAAAAAATAGCTGGAGTCAAACATACAGTTTCCACTGAAGAGACAGTCATTACCACAGAAATGCTATTTATTGTCAGATTTTTCTTCTTCACTGCTTGTTTATTACCAGCTGATAATCAGACACTATTACTGGCACAGATTGTTTTTGAATTCCCTTCAAACACAGAGATTCCCCACTGTTGGTGCTGGTCCATCTGTGTTTCTAGTGGCGTCCAACCTGCGTGCATCTGTGTTTGCCCGAATGTTTGCTGGCTGCTACCTACTGGCCTACACCACTGTGGCAAACATGCTCAGTCTGACACACACATAAACACTTTGCACAAAGCTTCTCTTTACCAGGCAAGCGCCATGCAGTGCTGCTGGCATGCAGTTTTGCCCGGTCCAGTCTGACTGCCGGGTGCAGGAGAGAAGGGGGGGGTAAGGTGGTCTGGCCCTGGCCTGATAAGGCTGCACCCCTCCTGATCCTTTTTCAATCTGTGTGTTTCTCATGCACCTCCACCTATATGTCAAGCCATCTACTGTCTACCCACAGGCTACTCAGGACCATAACCTGCTCCCACTAACATGTCTGTACCCCAGGTCCGCAGCACCAGCTCTGTGTGTTTGTCTGTTCTTTGTCCTTGCCCACATCACCTCTTGCCTTATCCTGTGGCACCAGAGTTTGCCACTAATTTACTGTGTGTCCATGTTCATAGTCGTTGTATGGATTTTCCGTGCCAATTCAAATTTGTTTTTCCAATCTTGCTTTTTGTCTTTTATCTGTCAAAATATGAATTCCTGACTTGTATTATAAACCCTGTGGCCTTGCCGTTATGGTTTTTATTTGAACAGTTTTGCCTTAAATGTTGTGTAAGCCATGAACAAATTTTATTTTAAAAAGTTTTGATTGGTCTTAAAATGTGTTTAAGCTGCAGACCAGGCATAATTTGTATGCCTAAGTGCATACCTTATTTTAAAAAAATACACATAGAGCAGAGTATTTATAGTATGAATCTGCAGAACAGAGTTGAAAATTCAAATTATTTAGTCATAAAACAAGAAGTTAACACAAGTTTTTTTAATGTCTCTCTGCTGAGAGTATACATAAATACACTTCTTAAACAACATGGCCCTAATCGATAACAAAAGTTGGAAATGATTGAAACTGGTATTTTAATGAGTGTAGAATCTAAAAAAAACTATTAGCAGTCCATTAATAGTCAGGACCTGTCCACAGGTTTAGAGCAGCTACAAATGGCTGCACCTCAGCTTACCTGTCCTACATTAACTCATCAACATATAAAGATAAGTCAGTAGTTCACATAAAAAACTATGCATAATGTGTTTAACACCCACAGACAATATGTCGACTAGAGAACCACAAATCTCTCATTTCAACACTGGAACCAAGAGTCTCATCAGCCTACTCTGATTTTACTACAAGAAAAATTGCTAAGAGGATAGGGAAAAGAATAGAAACGAAAGAAATGTGTGCGTCACAAGAAAGTACAAAAATACACAACGGAAAGACTGTTAAGAGATAAGAATAAAAATCATAACATTAAGCCAGAACTCAAACACAAAAATATAAACAAAAGGAAAGTGAAAAGCCAATAAAGAGAAGGACGAGAGCTGAAGAAAAAAAGAAAGTATGCCCTGAGAAGAGAGCATCAGCCAAAAGTATTTCATTTCCAATACAAGCCTGGCATGACAAGCAGAGTGGCAAAACAAGCACTGAGGGACAACACAACCCACACAACTGTGGACAAAGAGTCAAAGAAAAAAAAAGGAACTAAAAAACATGAACAGAACCCTGAAGAGTTGGTCTAAAAGAAATAAGTAAGAGACAAATTGAAAAACAAACAATAAACACATGACAGGGGTAGATGGAGCTTAAGAAGAGAAAAACTCAAGAATTTGCCAAACAGACAACGATGAAAGAAAGCAAGCAAAGTTGAGGTGTGTGAGTTGAGCTTCACAGGAAAAGCTCACCCTACAGGAATGATGTTTCCTCTGAGTTCTGGTGAGAATTAAACACGCCCTCTGAATCAGTGTCATAGCGAATCGAATCAAACCTTAGCTATCCCACCTGTGTGTTGTTACAATCTGTGTGTAAATATCAAGGTACAGTAAAACCTTAAATATGAGGAAGTTTGCATTCATGGAGTGTTTTTGATTGTTTAACAAATTTTCTATTTCCTTAGTGAAAGTGAACATCTAAGACAGTTTGGATACACAGAACCAGACATGTTTGTATCTATCTGTGTGGATGGCACACTTACTGAGATGTCTTCCCAGAACTTTGACACGTCACAGTTGTTGACGCGGAGGAACTCGATGAACCAGCTGATGGACCTCTTGCTGCCTCTGTCTACTGCCTCAAATCGCTCAAAGTTCTCATTGTGTTTGTTCACAGAGTAGTTTGTCAGATGCATGTAAAGCTGGGTCTGTGGAAACAGAAAGGCACCAAAGCAAATATAGGAAGAAGTCAACTCATTTATGGCAGGGCAGAAAGCTGAGAGAGACAGGAACCACGTGCATTTCTGAATCTTGTGAACCACATTGGAATGATGTAAATTGCAAAACAATATTCTCATCCTATGTCTCTATCCCTATATCTATTGACTGTGGCTAGGTCAGACGAGGTGTATTTTTGTGCATGAATACATAAAAATGACACTTGAAGAAATTAAACTTTTTATTTCTTGTCTCCTTCTCTCATTCACTATGCATTCATATCTCAAAAACAAAACCTACACTGATTTGCCAGAGTATGGATCTCTCACAAATGTTTTTCACATTTTTAAACATTTGAACAAGAAACTTCTGTCTAAATTTAGCAAATTCCTTCAAACTTCAGAAAATCTGTGAAACATTTCATGTATAATAAATATCATAAACGTAGGTTGGCGTATCGGATGTCTTCTTGATCAAGCCACAAGTTTAAAAGGAATCAGATCAAAGCACCTACCAACATACAAATTAATAAACGCCGTATACTAAGGATATGGAAGTCTAATAATAATAGTGTGGAAAATAAACATCACAGCAAACTACTTTTATTGTATTCCCAGGGGGCCAAAATTACAAGCATTCAGAGAAATCTCTATTTTGTCATAGGCTGTGCATCTTTGAATTGGATGACAACAGCTATCCACCGCATAACGGTTGTTGTACCCCCGTCTTTAAACACCATCAGTCAAACTCAAAGACAACACATCCTTGTCCTTATTCTACAAAGACATAACGCCATGCCTGCAGGCCACCACAGCCCTGGATGGCTCTCTGGAGACGGCTCTCTGAGGAATTCAGCATCCATCTCCATGACGTTGCTCACTCCATCATGTGTCATACGTTAAGACAATACAGGCTCGCGATGCCTATGCAAGTGTGAGTGTGTGCTTGAAACAAGCAAGTAAAATGCGTGCGCATGTGAGAGTCTGTCTGCAACAGTCTGTGCTTCAGCAGGTGCAGAACCTCCAGGCAAATATGACTGGTTTGATATCACAGCAAACATCTGGTATGTGGACAATTTTGCTCAGCTGTCTGTGTACAGTCTGCCTGCACATTCTGTCTGCTTGTGTAGGGCAAAATCTCCACTTTAACCTTAAATTATCTGCATCTGTACTCCGCTGAGTGTTTATGGGTGGTTATTTTTAGATTATGTTTTCTACTATTACGTTACAGAGCAGTCAGTGCAACTGAATGTAATTTCGACATTCAATCACTGTTATAGCTCTGATGCAGACATCAATTCTGGTATTTAAAGAGGGATTACTGAGCTGTTATTAGTTAAAAGCTACATGTCTGCGTGTGGGTGTATCTATTTCTACATCTATGTACTGTGTCAGCAGCTTGGAAAACTGCCACACAGATGAAGGCTGCAGCAGAGACACCCTAATCTGTGACTCACCAGGTTGGCGTCGTTGGGCGAGTGGTACTTCTCGGTGCCCATGCGAACCAGACCGTCGTTGTACAGGAAAATGCGGAGCGGGTCACAGGAAGTAACCAGGATGTAGATGCGCAGGTCAAATTTGTAGCCCTCCATCAGGAAGGGCTTGTCCAGGTACTCCTGAACAATAAAGTGCTCGTGGGATGGCAGCTTCTCACAGCTACGGATAAGCGAGATCCTGGATCGAGAGAGGCTTTATTAATCCTTGGGGGGGCAAATTATGGTGGCATAATAAAAGATGGCATGGTGAAGATAATTAAAAAAATGATAGATGGAAGCATAGTGGAGACTATGAACAAGACTGATGACACTGGCACTGTCTTCTGTTCATACTGAAGTCAGAAAATTGGGGCAAACAAGATACTGATTTTAGGTGTTTCATTACAATATTTCATCTGAAAGCCGTCTGAAAGCGTTGAGGGAAATATTTCTGACTTGCTCCCTCTGCCCATTCTCATGGTACTCTCTGTCTTTATGTCCCAAGATTAACTTTGGCCTGCTGCGTCTTCTGTTCAGTTAATGGATAATAACCATAAATTATACACATGGCAGATGTGATCATGGGGAGAGGATATTAAAATATGTCCATACCATGCAATGAATGATTCCAAAACTCACAATAAAGACCTTAAGCCTTAAGGAGAAAGAGTGTGATCTTGTGTCCATGTGAAACCCCGCAGTCACTGAGTCTTTGTAAAGAAATGTAAATAAGAACAAAAAGTAAGCCTCAAGTCTACTTGAAGCAGGAAACTATTTGTTTCTTTGAAGAAAATTGACATGCCAAAAATGTTTGTAGTGTATTTCTTCACTGCTGATCTATCAAATGTACACAAAGGGGCTACAGCAAGAATGATGGCTGATCTTAGCCATTCTCATAAGCATCTGGAGAACATTGTGATTTTTCTTCAAAGACAAATTCCTCTCTTTCTGAACAGCAAGTACGTCAGCTGCTCTGGCTGGGTCTTTAACCTGAGCGCAGGTTAATAGGAGCCGACACTACTCCGTTTCAAGCTCGACTCTGATTCATTTGCTTTGGCCTCATGTCACTGGCACTCAAGACTTATAATATGCAGGCCGTTTCTAGTTGGAATAAAGAATGAGTTGTGTTATTTTGTGGACATCCATGTGGCTGTGCAGCTTTTCTTTTAGTGTCGGTGAGTGGACTGTTTTTTTGTGCAACGCGAGGGTGTGGGGTCATTTTCTGAACAATCTTCCACTATGTACAAGCAATGCAGCTGACCTACATCACCCATCACTCATGGTTAGGGCTGATTTAATCTAAATTGCTTGCATGAGGAGCCCGGTCGGCTCCATTGTACACATGCATGAAGTAACATGGCACACAAAAACACAAAAACTAGTCCAAGATGTGTGGACCTGAATTATAGACTATGGAACAGAAATATAGTGGCAGCAACATGGCCCTGGCTTTACAGACAGAACATAAAGTATTATGAAAATGTGTAGCCTATGTTGTGGATATGCACTGGGAAATCTGCTTGGGAACCCAAGAATTTTTAGAGTGGCCTGTCAGGAACTCAGAAATCCAATCTTGTTCTGATCAGTGAACAAAACGCACCTTGGTGCTACCAGATTGTGCCAACAACAAAATCTGTCAGTGAAGAAGTTGTTACTGAAGGAAGGAAACTCAAAGTTAGCATTCTTAGTATCAGCAATGTGTCTACAAGTCAGATGAGGAATTAAAGAAGTGTTGGTTGGTATTGACAACAACAATCTATTAAAGTTCATTCAAGCTGAGCAAGACAAGAGATTGGACATACTGCTCCTGGAAGACAGGAGCTTGATTTTTGTGGATACCTTCCTTTCAAAGAGCTGTTCAAAAGACCATCAGTTTCTTATTTATATTTTTTTCAAGAAGTCAGCCACAATGTCGAATTTAGAATAATATGCAGTAAAGGTAAATAATGAACTTTGCTTTACTGTTTTTAATGCAGAGAAGTGTTTGAGGTTCAAAGGCCCCCTAGACTTCTACGTGCTATGCAATCATGTGGACAAATCACATGTCCACACTGCATCTTTTGCCTGTTCCATGTCTTACTCCATAGAGCAGCAAATGAAAAAGCTGTGTCTGCTTGTCTAAAACTCAGGAAAAAAAAACCCTGAAACACTCTGATTCTGTCCCCATCATTCATGTTCCCAACCCAACACGTTTGTTTGTGAATGTCACAACTGTATGAGGGATAGCATGATACTCCCAAATACCACAAAGCCTGAATGTGTGACAGCAAAGTTATTATGTTCTATCTGTAGAGCTTTCTATTTGCCTGTCATGAAAACTGATGGATTAAAAAAATGTTGGCAACCTTCCGGAAATCTCAAAGTTAAGGTAACACTCTCTCCATACTGTCCCAGCTACGGGGTAGCAGAAGCAGTACCACACCACTGGTAACATCAAAGTAAAAATATTAAAAGTCAATAAACGTGCATAGGAAGTGATTGGCTCGGCCTAGTTGCGAGTTCAAAACAGCTTGCAAGAATGTGAGTCCCACTCACACCCATAATTAGTAATTACCCACACTCATGGCATAAAGGCTAGAAAAAAACTGCTCAGCGTTGTCGATTAGAACTTTTAAAGAGAAATAGGAATTCAGAAAATCAGCATTAGCAGCTTGAAACTCAAGAATACTGACATTAGACATTCGTCACAAAGCTCTTATCAGTGTATCCCCCACTAAATATCATAATATATCCACTAATTTATCCACTCAGTTTATTCATGAAGCTGAAAGCAAAAGTTCAGATTGTATTTAGAAGTTTCAACAGAACAGAATGAAAACCAACATTTGAAACAAAATGGAAAAAAAGTTTTTCATTTTGCCCTCATCAACTGAGTTGGAGGAACCGTTACATGCTTGCAGACGTACTTTCATATACATGTTCAGTTCTTACTCCTGCCAACTAAGAAACCGCTCCGCTACAAATGACCACTTCACTGACCCGCTTATCACAGTACTTGAATGAAAGAGAGCAGAGGGGAAGTTGTTATGGGCCTGACCGTCAATATGAGGGGCCCTCTTAGCTGGCTGACAGCTGGCTGACTGATGAGGACAGGGTTAACAGCGTTAGTTAGTGGAGCTGCAGTAGCTGAGGAGAAGACGGCATGATTGATGAGCTGGGGTGTCAGATAATCACAGCCCACTCTCCCCCTGCCTATTTAATTTGACACTGGAGGGGAGCTTGCCTTTTTAAGCTCTGCACGCACTTTTTATTTTGTTTCCCCTTATAACAAGCTAGGCTTCAGACATAAACAATAACTTCATTTAGTTGGCCGACAGAAAAATAAATTACAGGGGGTAGATATAACTTAATTTCCTGCCGCGTCACACCACAGGGAAAAAAAAAAAAAAAAAAAGAGAAAAATCTAATTTTGCCAGCTGCCTGCCACTGAGTGGTCGAGCTAAACTCATCATCTTTCATATTCTTAATGTATTGCAATAATTCAGCCTTTATTCTTTAATAAATAAGGGCTTAGTGCAAGCATGGAGTTATAAGTAATGCCCACATTATACCAGAAAGGACAAATTCAAAGAGAACTAGAGGGAGAGGTGAGGCACACAGAGCTATTTGTACTTCAATATCCCCACCTATTGGTGCCAGTGATGAAGTCAGTCCAATATATTTCTCCATGCACACTCGTCTCAGGGATCACGTTTTCAAAGAACAGAATGTGAAAAAGAATGACTAATACATTTTTCACAATTTAAGTCCATTCCGGGGTTCTCAAGAGAGCTCAAAACTAAAATTTATTTTTAAAGCGGTTCATATTTAAGCTAAAATTCGTGCTCTTTTAGTTTAAAATTTATCTCCTGAAACCAAATTATTTACAGAACCTAAATATTAAATCCGCTCCTCATTATTTTGGCTTTTTTTTTTGTTTTGTTTGTAGTCTTCACATCTTTTTTTATTAAGTGTTGAATAATTGGTTTCCTAAAGAATAAATAAACTAGAATTTATTAAAAAAAACATAAAAATAGATCAAAAAGAGAATTTAAGCTCTTTAGACCAATAACATTTTTTTAGATTAAAAAGCCACTCTTAAGTAATTAAAAACACCCAGTTCTGTGAACATAGAAATGTCCTATTATTCCTTTCTCTGGCAAACTTCCTGACTTACCTATGGATGTTTTGACTCTGCTCATTTCTCCCCAGTCAGTGGAACACCTACAAAAGCCCAGATAGCTGGTTCTCACCCTGCTCCTCTAATTCTTTTTAAATTGACGGAGCTTTGTGATCAATATCAAAGTCCCCATCACTTAAAGAAAAGATCAAACGCTTACTGAGCCTTATAATGTTGAGATTTTATTGGCAATGCTTGTGGTGAGATGATGTAACCGGTTCACTTTCCAGGACATATGAAGGAGTGAGTGATTTTCAAGAGAATTCATCATTATTTTTCAATATACAGTGCCTTGCAAATTCGTTCTCCTTCTTTCTCACATTTTATCTTCGTTGCAACCGCAAACTTTAATGTATTCCTTTTGCGTTTTATGTGGTAAACCAACACAAAGCAGTGCATAGTTGCTAAGTGGAAGGATAGCTGAAGTAGGACACTCCACAAACCTCCACTGAAGCATATTCATGTGTAAGAACGGTCATGTCAAAGTCTCATTCGAATACAGAATTTGCAGCAAAAAAAAATTAGTTAATTATGCGCTACCGTTGAAGTTTAGGGTTGTAACAACACAAAATGTAGAAAAGTTCAGATATCCAAAAAAGCCTATTACATAACACTGTCTTGCAAGTTATTCGATTATTTCACACTCTTGATCAAAACTGTGCAACTGGAGAAGCTTGTTACATTAACTAGTTAATCTATTCTGAGGAAAAAAACAAATAAATACGTCCAGATTTTCTGTCCCAGAATGCCAAAATCCAGAATACAACTTTGACGTCACGACTTGAGCTCGCTTCTTACCCCATGGGAGTGAAAGCATGAAATATGCATTCAGGTACGACATTTAGCTCATCTTTTGATAAAGAGATGCTATTGAGAGTATGTGTTCCCCTGCAGCAGCCATCTTTGTCCATTTTCTAGTCTGACTGGCCTCTGCTGATGGTGCCTCATAAAGGAATCCAATAATCACATGCAGAGACCTTGAGGGGAAGGAACTACAGTAACTGCCAGAGACCACGAGCATTTGTGTGTGGCCCCCACTGGCAGTGATAACCGCTGATTTATGGCAGCGGTGACCATCGAGGACAATGAAGCCCCACAATGAGATTCGCCACACCCTCTCAGCTCTAATACTCAATCTGTTACCAGCCATCCTCCATTTCCATAGACACCCATGCCAGGGTCACAAACCCCTTATTGCTTTGTTTTTGTTGTGCTTGTCCTCTATTTGCTCTGCTGCTAATTTACTCCCTCCTCCCTTTCCCTTTCCCTTCTCCACTTTTACCCTTGCCCTCTCTGTCAGTCTTGGAGTCAATGCGCATAGATTACTCAGGAACACTTGCAATAGCCACTGACATACCCATGACCCATGGCTCCATTGGCAGGTTTGAGAATAAAGGTCTTCTGCTTGCGTTTCCTGCGCAGCTCTTTGACATAGTTCTGGAACTGTGTGTACTCAGCGGGGAAGATCCAGGTTCTGGGTGTGAAGTTGTACTCGTGTGGCTGGCACCTGATCATTCTGCAAGAATAAAAGAGCTAGTGAACAAGTGTACTTTCCTCTGAGAAGCAAAAATTTATCCTTTTAAAATAATCTGGCAGTTGAGTCTGGCACTTATTAGGATTTTCTTTTGTTTTCTTTTTTCTTTTTTTGTCAAATTAAAAGACGAATGTTGTGCTTTCAAAGCAGACCTGACCATTTGCTTTGAATTGTGAAGTGCTACAAGTACCCAGCTGTAACTTCTTATAATACCAGCAGGCTTTTGAATGCTTGCGTCGTCTCTCTGTAACTGATCCAAAGCAATCACATGCGCGTATTAAAGAGGGACGAAAAAAAAAAAAAAAAAACTCACTTGGACATGTTTCTTGCGAGGCAGTCTTTCCGGCAGATTTCGCCCATGCCAGGGAAATGGTTAATTCTCTGCAGAGGGACAGGCAGACATAATAATGTTGTTAGGGCCATTAAGCCACTCAATTCCACCCCCACCCCTTCATAAAAATGAGCACATTAAAGGCAGCAACCTGAAGTGAGCTTACAATGTTCTGACATTTATGCCCAATTACAGACTCAAAACAAAAAGGTGACGCTAAGACCTTTCCCAACCCTTATTTAGTTTACCATGTTTTTTTTTAATACTTTAAAGGTTGGGGAGGGAAGAGGCGAGAAAAAAAAAACGATCAATCTCAACTCAGAGGGGCCAAGGTAATTGGTTCTGCATCGCAAGCTCCTGCGGTGACAGTTGAATGAATTGCTTTGAATGTGCCGAAAGGGGGGTGGATGTAAAGGGGAAAAAAAACTCAAGAGTTTTCTGTATTCTTTGACCAAATGAGCCTGAACAGGGGTGGTAATTAGGCTCGTATGAACTGAAAATTTGACAGCAAACTCTCAAAATACATCACCAAAACGGAAAAAGAGGACAATTTTACAATGAGAATGTCATGTCAATTTTACAAAAAAAAAACGAGAATACAAAGTGTATAAGGAATGCGTGATTATTATCCAAATGAGACAGACATAATTAGGGATTCGGAAGAGATTGCACAATTATGCCAGTGCTGCAAGACTACATGGCGTGTAAGCGCAAATCAAAGCCGATTGTTGAGGGAATTTTACTTTTCTTCTGAGATTTTATCTCATGAAAGTCACAGCTCCATGAAGACGCAGACGGGGGAAAAAAAAAAAAAAAAAAGGCAAAGCATCTGTTCAATGTGAAACATTAGCAACATTGCAACACACTAAGCATCAATAGCATTCACAATATTCCATCTTCTTTCCTGAACTCTTGGTGCCCCTATTTTAACAAGGTATCCTCTTCCTGACTAGGTTGTGATTTAATCGATCATTAGTGGCCACTCTAATCAAATAAGTGCTTGGAAAGACAGATAGCTAATGCTCACAGCTATGGGAGGGCAGCCAAGTTCACCGAGCAACATGCGGGGGTCAGACAGAGGTAAAATCACTCTCAGACCAGCAAGAAAACCGAGAGCAACCATTGTTGTTAAGGCCCGTCTTATCAACATCACTAGTGACATCTGAAAGCTGCCCGGGCAGCCCCTGTTGTGCACAGGCTGTCAGTCTACCTGTCAATCTCTCCATCTCTGTATGGCCTCTGCTGTAGCCTCTCACTATCTCTGTGAATTTTTTCATACTGGCTATTTCCTACTCTTGCTACACTGTGTCTTAGGAGTAGCATCTAGGAGCTTCCACCTCATAGATAAATATATATGATATGTTTTGTGTTTTGCTAAACTTTTCTTAATGAATCTCTATGGTGGATTTACCACTCCTTTTATATTAATTGTGATGAAATCATCTTCATAAGTGCAGAGCTTCACCTCTTTGTCACAATATATAGTATCTTGCAAGTGTATACATACAATTTCAAACACATTTTTTTTTTTTTTTTTTGTGAATTTCATTCGGACTTTATGTGATTGACCGGTACAAAGCATTGCGGTCTGGATCAGTGCAACTGTAAACTGAAATAGTTTCTAGATTGTTTTACAAATAAAATCCGGGTGTACTTATGTGTTGATTCCTTTTCAGTTAAATACCTCAGAATAAAATCCACTGTAACCAGTTGGAAGTCACCTAACTAGCACGAAAAGTCTATGTGCAAAGTAATCTCAGTATAAATGCAGATGTTTTGTGAAGGCTTTTCTCAACAGCTCAGAGAATCTGGTCAGAATTAATGGGAAGATGGATGAATCTAAATGTTGGGAAATACTTAAACAAAAACTGGTAAAGGCCTGCAAAATACTTGAGCCTGGGGAGAAGGTTCACCTTATAACAGGATTGAAACCCTATACATACTTCAAAAGCTAAAAATTGTTAGACTGGCCCGAAGTCCAGACATACATCTATTTTAGAATTGTGCATCATTCTCCTTCCATTTTATAGAGTACTTTCCTTTGATCTATTACTTAAAATCAAAGTAAAATACACTAAGGCTTTTGGCTGCAATGTTAGAAAATGTGACAAAGTTCAGGGGGTTTGAATAATTTAGAAAGGCATTATAAATTACCTCACCAAAAACAATATGGTATTTTGCCATTTCGTCCAACTTACTTGATTGTTGATTAAACCTTTTTTCCCATGAATTTAAAACAAACGTCACATAGTTCAATGACATTTCAGAAAATCTAATTGCACTGGCAGTGGTTTTATATACAAGACTGTTTGTGTTAGACTGCAGTGACAGGTCCAAGGTCTGCTGACATATTTGATCCACTTGAAACATGTGCTGTGAAGTGAAATGTGGTTAGCATAAGAAGGCCAGAGAAACTGATGTTTAAAATCAATAAAACACATTTTGCTTGAACCTCTCCAAGATTTTGGGGTTTTTACACATTGTATTTGCACGACTTAGTTCCTCTGCTTACCTCAATCTGTTCTCCAACCCACATTTTACATGGAATACCTACAGCACTAAGTCACAGACAAAACACTAATAAATATCCATAATTAACCATCTAAAGCAAAGTGCCTGCAGTTAGAAGTTTTACAAGATAGCATGTGAACCATTTACTACGATTTGACAATAGCTGTTTTTTTCCTCTATGGAACTTTTCTCATTCCGCAAACTACGATTCGTCCAGACTTTTATCTGCTTCTGGTGAGATACTCATGGGCATCTGATTATGTTATAAAATTCTGTACCAAAGTCAGAAAAAAAAAAACAAGAGGACTCAGCTAATGATGTCCAAAATCTTCACTGCCCCAGAAAATTATTTTTGAATGGAAGGAATGAGATAATCTTTCCATGTGTCTGCACTAAAGATCTCAAAACCTAACCTAAAATTTCAGGAAGCAACTTATGTGGTTTAAACTGTTAAGATAGTCACATGTGCAGCACTGTGTGTAGTTGGATGAAGAACCATTATTCTTGTTTTTCATGTGCTAGCATTGAGCAAGTTACAAAAGAATGGTTTGACTGGCTAAATATGACTAACATTATCTTAATTCCACAAACAAACAAACAAAAAAAATCATACTTTATAACTACTGCGGTCTCAAAATTATTCAACCTCCTAAAAAGAATTGGGTGTGGTTTCAAGCACACCTGGTGCAATACACCTGGAAATACATAAAGAAGCCAAAAAGGATTTGGGATTCTGTTCTGTAGATAAATGGACCAAAACTGGATGTTTGTACAGCTGCGTATCAGGTGGGAGGATAAAAGGAAACATTTGTAAAAGAAAAAAAAAAAGAGCACCCTGCCTATGGTGAGGCATGGTGGTGGCTCAGTAATGCTCAGGGGCTACTATTCCTTCTCTAGCAATGGAAAACTGCACTGTGTGGAGGGCAATGTGGTTTCAATCAAATATCAGGAAATCCTGGGAGAAAATGTCATACCATCTGGGAGAAAGGCCTGGCACTACAAACAGGACAATGATTCAAAGGATATCTCAAACTCCACAAAGACTTGGTTTCAAGTCCTTTGAAATACTAGAATAGCCATTACAGTTGCCTGTAAATCCTTAATGGGATTTAAAAAAAGGTGGTGCCAGCATACAAACCCAAGAATATTTATCAAAACGAAATGTTTGCCAACGAGGAGAAGGCCAAGATACTTTCGCTGAATGCATCAGGTTTGCAGTAAATCTAAAAGTCCTTGTAACAAAGGTGTTGCATAATTTTGTGGCAGCAGTTGTAATTAAAGGAACATTTTGTGCTGAATTTTGCAAGACTAGTTCTGATCAGGTATTTAAATTGCTGTGGTTTTATTCATTTATTGCAAACACCAGCTGGTTTGTATATTTTGCCAATAAGCCTAATTTGCAGCAGAGTTTGAAACATTGTGATTGATGCGGTACAAGTGATGAGAGAAAGCCTGATTGAAACAGACAGACATTATGACAGTTGCAAGTGTTTGGGACTGCTGTTAGTTAATGAGGTCTGAGCACCCTGCAGCCTACATCTGAACACAGACGCACGGTGCAACGTTTTCTGCTCTGTTCTCACTGATTAACAGCCATTAAGAAAGTGATGCAGCACTGTTACAACACTTAGAAAATGTAATTCAAATTGCCCCGAGACGAACAGACTTATTTCCGAAGCCGCCTGCAGCCCACGGGATGTGTCGAGAAGATTGGGACTAGAAATTAGCTATTATACTTAATATGTCATATCAAGTTTGTTAGTTTTGAATGTAATTTCAAAATAAATAAAGATTTTATAAAACTGTGTGACAGACAACAATTGGCAAACAAACACAACCAGCAGG